CCTCCCGGTGCCGTCCCCGGCGCCCGGGGTTTCCTGCCGGTGTTCACGCTTTGCTTTTGAGCCATTCTTAATTGCCGATCAGCGATTGTGGAATGATTTTTTAAACTGTTTGCTTTTGCTGAGCATTGCGCTTTAAGGGCTCTGTTATGGTTTTTAGATTTTTTTTTTAATTTGGTGGTTTGTGTGTTTGTTGTTTGTTTGTTTAATATGAGAGCGAGGACATAACAGGCATCCAGAGCCGTGGATGATCAGGAAGGTGTCCATCCCATCTCGGTAAACCATGGCATATCAGCTGTATAGAAACACCACGCTGGGGAACAGTCTTCAGGAGAGCCTGGATGAGCTCATACAGGTGGCTGTGGGGTTTAGGGTCTGGGCGATTAGCTTAATAAAAAGAGAGGTTAATTATTAAAACGGCTTTGTGGTTGCTGTATCAGGGTACTTTTGGCCAACGTTTGGAAAACTTACTGATTGAAATCAAAAGCTGTTGGTACTCTGTGCATGTGGGACGTCTTCTTCCTAACGTTCTAGATGAAGGAAAATGTTTTATGTAAGTGGCATAATCCCCTGTTCTGTGGCCCGGTAAATGAACAGCCAGATTAATCTGGAACTCTGTAACCGATTCCCTGCTCTTCTGGTTGTTTCCAATGAATATTATCAGAAGAAATCTTTGTGTAGCTCAAAACCTCATGTTGGCGCATTGTTTCTTCTCTCAGAGTTAAAACAAGAAAAAGGAAGTAAACGCAGGAACATAGTACTTCTGTAAATTGTTCTTCTAAAGACCTGTTTCACATGAACTTTGTTTTGATGGTTTTAATTTTTATGCATTTTTGAGTTTACTTTGAAACAACTCAAAACTTTTTTTTAAACTACTTTAGTCACAGCAAATCACACCTCAGCTGGCCCTTCAGGTGCTACTTCAGTTTGATAAAGCTATAAATTCGGCACTGGCACAACGAGTCAGGAACAGAGTCAACTTCAGGGTAAGATAACAATATATAAAAAGTCCTTCACGAGGTACAGTAACTAAGCATTGGTGCAGATTGTCATTAAAAGCTGTGTGCTCTAAGCAAAAACTTATGAAGGTCCGTTTTTGACTCTGAAATAATGACTGTTGACACATACATTCTGTATGCAATTGTAAGGCTTGTTATCTTCTTATTCTGCCAGGAATTTTTTGAAGGAATACAAAAATCAGAAATGGATTTGGGGGGCAGATGAAAGCAGGGGAAGAGGGAACTGCTTTGATGGGTAGCATTGCCATCCCCAGTGTCTTGCAGATGGGGAGGGAGGCTTGTTTCTCTTAGTTGTACCTAGCAGAAGTGAGATGAGGCCAGATTGTCAGCCACATCTATAATGTGAAGAGAGACTAGAGAGTTGTAGATCTACCCTTATGCAGGTCACTGGATGGTTTTGTAGTTATTTTCTGTAGGAATCATAGAAAAATAAGTTTGGATTTTTTCCCAGCCAGCCACCCTAATTAATGTCAGCCAGCAAATTGTTAAATGTCAACTTGATTGTAATTTTGAGGAAAAAAGAAAACAAAAAAACCCCAAAATAGTTGTCTTGTTAACTTACGTGCTAATACTTCCTCTATAGTCTTATGTGGAACACATTAATGAAGTGAGTTCTTAAGATTTTAGATTTTTAAATCAGATAGATATGTTAAAAAGAGCGTAACTTCTTTCCTCTAATACACTTAACTTGCTTTGTGTATGTAACGTCGTATAGAAAAGCATTCAGAATGTGTTCAGTGGATAATTTAAAAAAGTGTTATTTGGAGCTTAAGTTCAAGAGTATTAAAATATGTGAAGATGAAGGCCAAAATGTTTACACATTAACATCCTCACTAATACATCAAACATGAGGGATACCCCTTTATGTCACATAGGTCAGTGTTGTCATGATTTTTTTTAAACTATTCCTTTATTTAAACAGTTGCAGAATTCATATCTTGTTATGATCACTGCTGAAACTGATGTTTCTAATGGCCCATGTTTTAAGAAATCTTTTCTGATACTGATCCTCATACACATTAGAAAAGTTATAAAACTTCTTAGCGTACCTGTGAAGTTTCCCCTTGGATAGACTATAATATACACAGTCTTGAAAATTTCAGCCACTGGAGGGCATTTAAACTACAATTTTCCTCAGAATTGCTTGCTTGCCAAGTTTGTACGCATTCAGGTTCACAGCTGGCTTTATGGCAGACCTAGTTCTAGAAGGTACATAGTTCAGTAGATAGTAAACATCATATTTTCTCTTACTTCGGGATGCATCCTATAGAAAATGTCTCTTGTCTTTTTAAAGGGTTCTCTGAATACATACAGGTTCTGTGACAACGTATGGACATTTGTATTGAACGATGTTGAATTTAGGGAGGTCACTGAACTTGTGAAAGTGGATAAAGTGAAAATTGTAGCGTGCGATGGAAAAAGTAAGTATAGAATATGATATAAATAAGCTGAGACACAAGACTTGATCATTTATAGAAAGCTTTGACCAAATGTCTGATTAAAGCTAGATTGATTGTATTATTCAGACAAAAGTATGGCTGCACTCCCTTTTACATATGATGAGAAATGAAACAGAAGCAAGCTAAATGCTTCCTTCACTCATACGCACTGAAATAGGAACGTGTTAGAGACTGCTGTATGCCTGTTGTTGGGAAGTACATACTACTAGAGCAATTAGAAAGCCACAGGTAACCTTAATTGAATTTCTGTGTGGTAATTTTTCTAGTATTAACCTGTTTTTTAGAACAGCACCATGTTTTATTGAATTCAAGGAGTGCTTCATCAGTCTGAGAAAGCAATTGTCTGAGAAAACTGTCTAAGCATTTTTTTGTTGGATTTGATAGTAGGGGACCCAAGCACGTGAAAAGCTTAGGCTAGCATTTGCAAATCTTATTGTAAGATTTATGTATTGCTCAACAGGCCTACTGTACGTACACTGCTTACGGGAGTTTATGTTCCATGTCTGCTTGACTGGATTACTTTTGTCAATGTTCCTTGAAATTCTTTAGTGGAAAAAGTCATTTAGTGACTTTTGTGGCAAACTTGTTTTTAACTTTTAAAACCATTGATGTGGCAGAATATTGCTAAAGATGTGTGAAATGATGCCACTTGTTTCATCCCCGGGGAGTGATGCTAAAAGGAAGAACTAAGAATGAAAAAGGCTTTAAATATACCCTAGACCTCTGAAACCAGTACTTCATGGCTTCCCGATCCTGGCATGATTACAGTGGTCACTTCAGATTGTAGTGCTAGAGTTGACAGAAACCTTACTTTCCAAGTATTAATCATTTTCACTCTTGATAAAACATGCAGATAAGACTTAAGGAACTGGGTGACTTAAAGTTGCCATTAACATTACAGCCTTTTTTTCACCACAAGAAGTTGACTTGCTAAAGGAAGGTAGTAAACAGTGACTTGTTTTTCTCCGTATCCAAGTTACGTACTTTTTCCGTAGCTGTAAGGACAAGAAAGCAGTAATGGTAGTAATACCAGAAATTGCACTGGTGTTAATTGGTGCTTCTGACAAAAGTTCAGAACAGAGAATTGCTCTCAGTTGTTTTATGGTCGTGCTCATCATTGCATCTGTTTCAAAATGTGTAATAAACTATAGCCCATGCTCCATAGGAGCTTATGCTACTGGATGTGCAAACCTCTTTCTCTTTAGCAGATCATGTGATTTAGCCAGATGTGCTTGTGGCTGACTGCAATAAAGTGTTTGTGTATCACTACAAGTTAGAGCAAAGCTGGTTGTATTTTTAATGCCTTAAGAGCAAATCATGTGTGTGCACAACCTTGAAGTTTTGTGCTGGCCCTTTTCAATGTTGTTAACTGAAGTGAAACAGCACAAGCAGTTCGTGCATCACATGCACGGTACAGAACGTGTTCTAAAATGCTTGGGGAATGCTTTTGAGCTTGGGGAAGGTATTAGTTAATGGCATTGGTTCTCTTTAATTTATACTCAATGGTAGTGGTGGTATGTATTACTCTCACTTTCTTTTTTCTTTCCTAGACACTGGTTCCAATACTGCAGAATGAATAGAACTGTGGTTTGTCTGCAATATTTTCTGTTAATATGCAGCGCTTTCTGGAGAGAAGCATGGAAAGGGACTGCACTCATACTTAATTCTTGTGATGCAGATGTGAGTTAATCTATACGAGAAGGTGTCACAAAATGATGGCAGAAGAAATACCTGTAGCATTTCTTCAGTTCACCTTATAGGGCATGAATACAATGTAACTTTTTAAAAAAAATTACAACAGATACCGTTGCCTTTTTTGTTCAAAATAGTTTCTGTAATAAACTTTTATTTAAAAACTTGTGAATGAGTGATCATTGGAAAATTTTATTTAAAAATGATCATTAATATAATATATTCTCCCAATACTGTCCAGATGTGTTTAAAGTAATGTTGCAAATGCAAAGGTCTTTCATTTACAGGGTTCTGAGTATGGTTGCACCGATTAGTGTTGCAAGAAATGGCTGTTTCGGAATGATGGAGGAGGACATAAGTAAAAGTTTAGCAGCTCATGCTGGCCAGTATATTTGTCTGTTACTGCATCTTTCTATCTATAAATGTGTCCATTTGGTAATAATGCTAATAACTCTGCTAATAATACACTAGCCCAAGTATTAAAGTTATCGCACAGCTAATCAAATTGAAATAATGAAACTGAGTCTCATAAGATTGCACTAAATTCTCAGCAAATCTTAGTGCTGCTTGTTTTAATGTTTTTTTGTATTTATGTGGAATACATTTATTTGGACACCTGGCCAACAGGACTTCAGAGGAAAAGTTGAGCTATGAATTTTGAGATATCAAATGGATAACTTTGTTCTTTTTAGACTTACACATTCCACTAAATAACTCCAATCAAGAAACCCTTAAAATAGTTTCTTCACTAGAAGTATGAATGTAATATACTGACAGCTCATTTGTCTGACTTAACAGCAGTGATTGTTCCAGTGCAGTCATAGGAATGCTAGCTGCCTCAGCAGTGTCAAATGCATTTATTTGTGACAGTAGGCTACTTACAGACCACTAGAAACTGGAAACTGGACAGAAGAAAAGCCAGGGGATAATTATTTTCAGATCAGTCTAAATCTTTAGGTTGTGCCAAAACGAGCATAATTTACATGTTGAAACCTTTCTCTATGTGTCAATGGCCCAGTCTATTAATTAAAGTAATAAAGCTTTAGTATCTCTTCTAATACCTTTCCAGACCAATATGTTAGGTTCTCTAAATCCTACCTTTGGACATCAAAGGATACATATTTGGGGTTTGGTTAACTTCTGCTTCCCTTCAAGTGAGAAAGGAGTTCACAAACTTGCTTGCTAGACTGTGTATTACGTTTACCATTAATTTTTTTGTCTTGGATCTATGCTAGATTTTCTCTGCTGCAAACTGCAGATTGGTAAATAACCATTGTTGAAACCAGAAAAACAGATTATTTCTCTGATTGGAACAGCACAGTAAGTTTCTGTCAAGTCATTATCTTAAAGGATGCAAACATATATCCGTAGCGTGGTTTTCTTTTTCTACATCAGACAATCTTCTAGGTTTAAACACTTTGTTCTCTAATAATCATGTCATAAACTGAATTTCAGCCCTTACAAGTATAAAAGTTTGCTGTTCCTACCTCCATCTCTTTGCAGTCTCTTTCTGCCTCTGGACAGAAACTTCTCAATCTCCAGTTCTCTGTAGCCTTTGGACTCCCTCCTAATGCAAATAAGTATATATCTGATTTTGTTCCAATGAAGTGTGCGTTAACATATTTACTATGGCATTTTTCCATTTTAAAAAAAAATTTAATAGAGAGGCACAATTGTACTGATGATGTGAGGTTATTGTGTGGAATGGATTTATATTTACATTTCACTGATACTCCTCTATCAGACTGCTCTTGTGTTTCAACAGTTGTGTACTACTACTTTAGCACTCCCAGGCTTAGTGCTACCTTAATTGAAAGGAAAATAAATATTTAATTGAAAAAGAAAATAAGGTAATTAATATATATACTAAGAAAAATTACAAATGAAAGGAGAAATAATTTTGTTGACAACCATGTCTGCTACATAGTAATCAGTGAGATTCAATTTGAGCTGGAACCAGAAATTACTATGTTCTTATTTCAGGACAACTTTACTGACTTGTCTGAAAAAAGTAGTAGCAATAGTCCCATTGAAGCTCTAGAGCTGGTCCTTTGGAAGGAGAAGGTGATGCGTAACAGTAATACTCTGAATGGTATACCCTGCTTACCTGGTAGTTCCTATTTGGTGTGAAAACAGATTTGAATAGTGCCTTGCCTTGTAAGGAAGCATTTGAAAAGGAGATGGACATTGCGAAATGAATTTAAGTGCTCTGTACCTGAGTCTAACTGTACTGAAAAAATGTGCAAAAGCTTAAGTGATGCTGATGTTCTTGATCAGCTTGTTGTTTAGCCTGAGTTAAGCAAGTGGCAAAAAGTGACAGATGAAAAATATATTAAATGTTACAGATGCTTCTGAACTGTTCTAAGATTTTTCCTTTTGCTAATAATAATGTAGTCTTAAAGGAAATGCACAACAGACTTTAAAGATTTTTGGAGCAACTGGAATGGTTGGGGACAGGAAGCAATCTTTTCCTGGGCACAGTGATAATGAAGTGACTGTGTGCTGAGGGAATCTGTGTAATTGAGTCTGTGTGAAAGGCTAGAAAGCATGCACAAATGGGGACTAAGGGAATGTTTCAGGTGAAACAGCAAACGAATGAGTGGGCAGTCGTAGCATATCCTTCTGTGATCTAGACATTCCTCTCTCAAGCTGAAAATCTGAGAAGGCCTCATACAAAACAACAGGAAGAAAGAAGTTACCAAACAAAAATAAAAACTGAAGAAAGGCAAACAATACTCTGAACCTTTTGTATTGCTACTGCCTGCCTAATTATTGGTGGTATTAGAAGCTTTATTTCACATCTGGTTAATGTTTTAATACTGCTGTTTAAAATTTTCTGGTAACATGGGCTAGCTCTGTTTGGTTACGGCAAATGCATCAAGCTGTTTTTCTGCAAACCACTTGTTTTCCACTCTGATGGCAGTATCCTTTTTGTTTTCTGTGTACTCTGTATTTATTTTACAAAATAAATATGTTTTAAGTTTGACTACTTATTGTTTGTAAAATTAGCTTACATATGCATTTTCTGTCTCCTTCATGACAGTGCAGTGTTAGGCAGTGCAGGTATCTGATATTTTTGCATCTGTGAGATGCTTCTAGGACATGAATTAAAATCTGGATGTCTACAGACTACTGAGTTCACCTGGATACACAAAGAATACTTGAGTTTTTGTGACCAGTACTATTCTCTGCTCTTGTGGTCTGCTGGCCTTTAGAGCCAAAGGGCAATCTGTGCATATGCAACAGAGAAGCATTTGGCAGCCTTGTTCCTTGCACAGTTATGATACAGTGCAGAAGCTTCAGGTATCGCTTCTTTAGTGTTTGTTTTAACAGTGAATACTGTTAAAAACTGCAGAAGTTAGTGTTGGTTTTGTGAAGAAGCAACATGAATAAGGGTTGCTTTATGGTTTCTAAAGCTTCTAAAGTAAACTTCACACAGGTCTGGTGTTCCAACCTTATCTGGCTTTTTTCTGGATTTTGTTTGGAAATACTCTCTGTTCCTAGCTTACCTCTATATTTTTTTTCTCTTGTTGTTGTTTCTAAAGTATCCTTTTTTCTTAAACTCTCCATTCAGCATGACGTATGTACCCTGTTAACTCTGCCGTCTCTTTAGAAAACAGCTCTTGAGGCATACTGAGGTGTAAATAATTATTGGGAATAAGCTTTCTGATGTCTAGAATTGCTCCAGTGATGCCTCAGGGAGTATCTGCCTATGGGATAAAGACTTCTGTCTGCTCACTGTAGAAGAGAAGCTTGCCTATGTTTCTGGAGGAATTAATCCCTGCAAACCTCACAGCTGTCAACGCAAGCTCTGACACTTGGCTTGGCAGCACATGTTCTTTTTGGCTCTAACCATGTTTCTGGGATGGTGTTTGTCCATGCCCCAGATCTGCTACTTCTGTGGAGCTGTTTCAGTTCACTGAAGGTGGGGGGAGCAAAGAGAAGGTATGGGGATCTGGTGCCAATATTCTTCCTGCTTTTTATTGCTTTACTATCCATAACTTTCTTGTCACTTGCAATTTTTTGTGTTTGAATTAAAGTTAATCCCTCCATGTTCATATGATTAATGTACTTTGTGGTTTTGGAAAATTTGTTGAACTTACACCTAAAGGCATTAACTGCAATTTTGTTATACTAAGCTATTTCAATATCCAGTGGAAGACAAACCATCTCACTTGCTAGACAGTCAGCATACTTGCTGCTGCCTATTTGGTTCTTCCTTGCCTATAGTGTTATGGACTGATTCATTTATTTGGGTTTTTTTGCTGATTTTCTTCAGAAAGGTCACAGTTGCTTCCACCTATCAGTAGAAGAGAGAAAGTAAAAGATATGTTTGTACCTTGACCTTGAGCTGGAGTGGATGTTTCTATTTAGAAAGTAAATAATAGAAAGCAAAGAAAAGGAAAAAGTACAGCAGTGGCTGTGGATGACTGCCTGTGTTTAAACGTGGCTTCTGAGAAAAAGGATTTAGTGAATTCCCTAAGTGTGCAAAACAGGGTGTTCTCTGAAGCAAGCTGTTTGCTCAGTCAGGGATGTCAATACACGACTTTAAATATTATGAGACACACAGAGATTAAATGACAGTGTAGAGCAGGAAGAATTTACGATGAATTCCCAGAAGACAAGTTTAATCAGGATCATTATATACTGTTACACAATGACCAGGTACAATGAGGTAGATGAGAGTTACTCAAAACAGATATTTGCTTTTAAGGATCTCAGCAGCTTAGGAGGCTGTATTTCAGTTAAGGTACTAGTGACTTGGTTTTGCTTTTCTGTACTCTAAAATTACCTGGGGGAGGGAAAATAGGAGCATGGTAAAAAGCATTTTAAGTTTAATAAGACTGTACTGGGAGATACAGACTCTTCCTTTGCTGTAACTTAAAGGGTGATCTTTGTTAGGGAAATAGCTTTGCTCAAAGATAAATTTACTGTATAAATTAGCCATTATGGCTTGGTAGGTAGTAAGTCACAGATATATTAATATTTTGTGTTAAAAGTGCCTGCACCCTCGAAGGAAGTGGAAAATAGCTCACTGAGAGTCTAGTTAATGTTTCATGGTCACTGCTGCTGTAGTCAGAAGAAAAAGGACACCCTAACCCCATTCCCTGAATCCATTTTGCTCATGACTGCAAATACTTTACAGATATTTTGTTTCTATAGGTCACGTTTGTTTCTAGTTTGTTCAGAATCTATTATCCCATTTCCTCTGAATTTTCCATTTGACCCATCTCTCTACTATAGGACATTTCAGAGTTGATCAGACAAAGTATGAAGGAAATGCAAAGCAAGAAGGAAACAGACCCTCCTAACTAGAGTTAAGAAGACCTGCCGTGTAAATATGTATTTTTCTAGTTTCAGCTCACATTAGGTTGTCCTTGTAAAAATAAGGTGAAAACCACTTGGAAATAAAATATAAATTCAAGTCAGGTGAGTTTTAAAAAAATAAATCTGTTTTAGATTTCAGAATTAATTTCACCTTCCTCCTGTGCCTATCTTGAAAGGTAAATGGCAATTTGCAACTTATTTCCTCCTTAAACAACTGGTGATATATTTAAAGTTCAGGTGTTAGTTAACAATTGATTGTAGACAGAAGTGTCAGAAGTAGATTTTCATGCTCTCACTAGACAAAGTTAACGCTAATATTTCTGATATGACTATATTTCCAATTTGGATAACCCAAGATTTTACTGATGAATTTCATAGGGGTTTAACCTATTTTTTGGAGGTGATCCTGTATTCTGATATGCTAATGCTACTTTGTACTAGAGCTTGTTCTACTCTATTTGAAATTTATCCTTTTTTCAGTTCTGCAACTAACCTTGGCAACTTACATCTTTTCTTTGTGACCTGTTGCTAGTTTTCTAAGATGACGGCTTTCTTATTTCTAAGATATTTTGAGATCTCTGGAATACAAAGTTCTATATTAGAGCTGAGTGATATTTTTTATTGTCATTTGTCACGGGTAAAAAGACTTTTTTTTTAAAATTTTCTGTATCACTACTTTGATATGTGGCTGCATTCATAAATCTGACATTTCTAATGTCTTTGGAAGAGGAAATTCTGAGAACATGCCTTTGTAAGAATCTTTTTGTCTTAGTTCACCTTCTAAATTTGGGAGTAGTCTCATTCTTTCAGAAGAAATGAAGTCACTACTAAAAGTAGAGAGTGAGTTGAAAATAAATTTGCACGAGATATGACTTTGGTTTTGGAACCAAATAACTTGAGATAAATTGTGAGTAATAACACCAACAGAAACTGAAAATTTTCTTTTAATCAAGAAAATTGGATGTGGAAGTTCACAAGTTGTTTAAATCTCCAGATAATAATGCTGGAACATTTGTTTTCATACAAACCAGTGATCTCTCTGAATGGAGAAGGCTGCGTAGGCTATGTTGTTAGGTAACTGTTGTCCCTCTTAAATGTGTCGCCAAGCTGGTTTTGTGGTATGCTGGTTTCACTTGGGGCTGTGATGTTCTGTGACAAGCTCTTTCAAATGTGGATAAATGGTTAGATACTCTGTCTCCAGGTCTAAACAGGAAGAGCATAGATTGCTAAAAGTAACATTAAAAGAAAAAGCATTTTGACTTTACTAAAAGACTTAAAATGGTACAGATTTGAAGTGGGCCCCCCCTTTTTTTTCCCCCAGATCTAAGTGCTTGTCTCTGTCTCTCCATCCATACCATTTTTTTTTTGTCAGGAGAGCATCGGTCAATAATAGATTAAACACTGTCATTTAAATAGCCTGTACAAGCAATACTTCACATTGAGAGAAGAAACAGCTGAATAAGTTAAACATATTTGCAGAATGAAGGGGATAAAAATTACTGTTAACAAGTCTGTAAGTAACCTGTAAGTATATATCTTTCTTTATAGGTACATTTGCAAAATAATAGAGAGGTCCCTCTTTCAACAATCTATCACTATTTCATGCTGGGGTTTCTTCCACCCCTCAAGCACCTTTTCACTTTTTGTAGGTGCTCAGAAGGTTCTTTGAGAAATACATTATTTAGATCTTCTTACAGACATCTATTTCATGGATGGGTTTGGTTTTGATGTGATTCCTTAGAATAGAGAAGTATGAATATGAATATGCACCTTTTTTTCTCCATTTTCTAAGGGAAAAAGACAACACCTTGCCAATAGTCAAAAACACACTGACCCCACTCTGCCTGATTTAGTCCAGAAACTTGAAGGTATCCCAGTCCCCCAATGAGCCACTGGCAGTAGTTTACCATCTGGGGCTAATATGTATTAATTTGAAATAAATGAAAAGTGCTCCAACAAGCGAAATCAGATTAGGCAGCAGTGGTTAGATGCAGTCTTCTACACTGGGAGACTTGAGTTCTTACCCTGAGTCAGCAGAGAAGTTTTGTTTGTTCTAAAAGAATGCACTAGACATGGAGATATTTACATGGCTTCCCACTGGGACCAGCAATCCTATCACTTTATTTGCTCTTTTTGAATAAACAAATGCCCAATGATATGTTGGATATTTCTGTTTGAGAGCTCTTCTTGCCAGTAGTTGGGGGTTTTGCCTATGTTTGCTGTGAGATCACCATGGCATTTTAAAAATCAGTGTTTTACAACCAAGTTCATTTTAAAATGTCTAAGAAAATTGCAATGACAGACCTTTTCAAGTCAGTTATTTCGTCTTCTCATCCTATTTAAATCAATGTTTTAAAGATCTGTATGATTGCAGCCATAACTTCATTTTAATGTAGCCTGGTGCTAAGGAATTGCTTCAGATGTTCTTTGTATAATGCTAATTCTCTACCATAGACCTTGAATTTATAAAGGTGAGAGTGTTTACTGACAAAAAAATTACTTGAAGATTTTTTTTTTTTGTAGTATAAAGACAACTGAATTAATCCCTTAGCATTATAGGTAGTGAAAAGCTGTTGGATCCATGGAACGTGGCTGGCTTTAGTGTGAGAAGGTGGGAAAATGTATGTGGGTGAAACACAGAAGTTCACAAATCTTTCAGCTTCTAGAAACTTAAGAAAACAACATGTTGGATGATTATTTTGTTCTTCTAAAAGGCCAGATACACTGCTGGACATGTCAGTTATATTACTGAGAGCACTCCTCACAAAAATATCTTT